GTGGAAAGGGCTTGAACCTCAATGGCATGCACGACCTCCATTAGCAGCCTTCCTGATGTTCTTAATGTTGCCACAGTTGGACCAATGTGACCCTTTATCAACAGGTCTTAAAATGAGTTTGGAACTGGGATCATGTTAACAGCAATGACTAATGAAACCATCTTTTCAATTAAGAGAACTTGTCATGCTATATTTAAATTATTCAAAGTTTTGTACAAAATGATCTCTAAATTACTGAACCTGCGTAGCCTTGTTCACTGATCACTATTCCACATCAGAAGAAATTGATTACACTGTCACAATACAAGCTGGATTGCATCTTTCTAGATCCAGGGTTGAAGATGCCCGTCTTAAGTCCAATACTAATTGAAAAAAGGTGAGAAGAACCCATAGGACCAGAACTGGGAGATCCTGCTTGTATGCAACTTATTAAAATTTGTTTGTATAAATACAGATAGGATCGAGATGGTTTGGAAACTTGAAGACAACAAAGAGCATGCCCATGTTCTCAACAGCACTGCACTGGCAGTGTTGCTCATAACCTCAGAAACTCCCTTGGGGAAAAAGCTGATAATCTTTGTTCAAAGAATTACTTTGACTTCAACTTTAAAAAGTTCATCTGTAAAGAGAAAAATAAGCCAAATCTGACTACCAGGCTTAGTCATTCATGTAATCAAAACTTCTGTTTTCTCTCAAGGCCCCTGAAAGCCAAACACTGTAGCTGACCTAATATGGAAAGATTCTAAGATGCACAACAGTATTTCACTTTCCTTTCAGAGAGGTTTGTGCACAGGTGCAGTACCAGATCTGTCCTGCAGAGAGCAGTAATCAGCATCTTATTTCTGCTTTCAACTTCATTTGCAGTTAAATTGAATTGCAATTTGAATACAAACACAAAAGCTATTCTGCTTAACCTCTACTACCACCCAGCAAGATTTCCATCCCTAAAAAGCTCCTTTCTGAGCTAAAACCTTTTACCTATTTGCTGGTCTATGTTGTTTACCTCAATTTCTCACTACCAGGAGATCTATAATACTAAGTGTAATTGCACAGCTCACCAGCAGATGGTGGCATTATCAACAGCCAGAACTTATTTCTCCATCTCCAATATGCCATATAAATATACCCTCTAGTCGAATCTAATTGGCTGACAATCAAAATGCTAGCAATATCACAAATTCTTCCTACTACAGGAAACTTCTCAACCCTGTTCCTAGAGCTACTCTAGTAATCACAGCAGTTTCATGACAAAAACCATGAACAAATTAAACCCCCAAGACTAGCAGAGCATTTAAACAAATCATAGCTCAAACTGACCATTTCCCCAAACTGCAACTTCATCCTCTACCACCATTTTTTCACCCGTTTCCATTTCCTCAGTGCTAAAAACGTGAATGGTGCAGGTTTTTAAAAACGCCAAGAGGGAACAAAATTGAGAAGCATGGTCTTGAAAGTTTTTATCTTGACCTCAGTCAATAGTTTGGCTACCAAGTCAAATTACTAAAGTTAGCTTTAAAATGACAACTGAACACCAGAAGAAAAAGACAAGACTGATTTATTTATAATTGAGAACCAGAATATACAAAGCAGTGGTCAAGCAACCAAAAAAAAAATACAAATTGAAAAACTTTGCTCAAGGGGACAGACTGTACGAGTTAATGTGGCTGCCTATATAACTTTATGAACCCTCAGGGAACACCACTGCGATATTATTCAAATCAGTCTTACAGACAAGCCGTTGTAAAATTTTAACCTGGGGTTTTTCAGACCACAAAAAAAAAATCACAACTTAAAACTGTACACTGAAAAAATACAAAAAGTAGTTCAAAAAATTCATACAGAACAATGACCAAAACTTTCAGATTTAAGAAAGGGGTTAATAAACATTGCAGAATATTTCACCAGGCCATCAGGCTCCTATAAAAAAAAAGCTTGTTAACTTAATACAGTTCCGTAATTTAAAACTAGCCAAAAAAAGGAGCCCCCGCCTCAGTTTTCAGCTGTACCATACATCAGCCAAGGAAATGAAAGGGTGCCAAAAGCAGCAATGGCACTATACCTAACAAATCAGATTCTAATGCTAACAATCGTCTATTATCCCCTGCTTAACTCCAACATCTTTGGTCTTTACTGGGTTCGAGAGGTCACCATAGAGGTCTGAATATTTCCTTACGAAGAAAGGGTACAGCTGCTCAAGTGTGCATCGGCTGGTCAGGTAACAAAGTAGAAAATGTGCTTCATAGCTCAGATGTTTCGTACATATAAAAAAAGCACTCGGATCTTAAAAATGAGCCCTATTTGCAGCAATTAATAGAAACTGGTCATACAAGGACCAATAAATAACATTTTACAAAACAAAAAGTTGTGTAATGTTACAGGAATCCAGTGCGATTACAGTATTTAAAAAAAGTTCTGTAAAATGTACATAAAAAGCACAACCCTCTACTAGGTAAAGTTGACCATGCGGACAGAGCTAATGAGGATGAAGTGAGACTCTAAGCTTTTGCTTCAGCTTCTGTGGAGTCACCGTTTTCTGTCTTCTGCTTTTTTGTTTCAACTTTTTCCTGATGGAACAGAAAAGGTTCAAAGTTAGTTGCCACTTGAGAGCATCACTTTGTTCTTGAGTTAGTAAAAGCCAACTGCAGATCTCGGACATACAGGACCGAAGGAAACTTACCTCTTCCTCAGCTGGGCGCTTCACAGGGTGGCCATCAGCCTCCTCTTCTGCACCCTCTTCTCCCTCTTCATCCTCCTCCCCCTCTCCCTCAGCTAGAAGGAAATTAAAAGCAGATCAACAAGCAGACTCCACACTAACCCAAACTGGGAGTCCACTGGGCCAGTCAGCAGCCAGGTCATTTCATAACCAGATGGAATTGGTCTAGTCCGATACTCCAAAGTAATTTAGTGCATACCTCAGATTCTAATGCTTATTTGAAAATGCAGTTTTGTGCAGTTCACATCCAACAGTAGTGCAAAAGACTCAAAACAAATTCAGTCCATTTCCTCTGCTGGACAATCATATTCCCAGATATCAGGCAGGCAACTTACCTTCTTCATCTTCCTCCTCCTCATCCTCAGGGGTTTCCTCACCATGGTCAGCACCATTTGCCTCCTACAAAAGAGTGAAAAAATGTTTATCACGCACTTCTCAAAAACAACCTTCACGTTGGCTGGTTTTGCACACACCCACACTTAAAACTGTTCATGCTTTCATCCCACCAGGAAGAATCCTACCAACATTTCTCTCTGCAACAAGTAAAGGAGAATTCCACACTGATGGGAAGGAAGAACACCCCTCAAGCTACCGAGTCTTCCTTGGGCGAGGAAGAAATCCAATCCTTCGGGCTACTGTAAACAGCTTCCACACGAAGTGGGAAGCACACAGAGCACATTCAGCTGCCTGGCTACCTCAACAAAGGGCTGTGAAGGGGGCGGGGAGTTGGCCCAACACCTGCACAGCGAGGGAGCCGAGCGCACACGCAGACAAAGGCCCGGGGGCCACAGGGGAACCGAGCTGCACTCACTGTGCCATTGGCAGGTGCGTCTCCGCTGCCGTTCTCCTTCTCCGTCTTCTCCACCTCCTCCGCCACCTCTTTCTTCTCCTTCAGATCCTGCAGAACAGGGAATTCAATACCGCGGCGTTACTTCCAGCCTCACTCCCCGCCTCCTTGACCGAACACAAACGGGAGTTCACTCTCCCAAGTTTGGAAAATATTGAGTAATTGACGCCGCTCCCCTCTCCACCGCCATCCCCGCCTGCTCCTCCCACCCCTCTTTCAGCCAGAATTTATGACCCTCAACAAAAAACCCCATTCAATACGTTACGGAAGGCGGAAAAAAAAGGCCCAGGTCGGAAAACGTCTTGCCCGCAGACCGTGAGCGCCGCGCACCGCTCCCTGGGCTTCAGCCTCCGGAGCAGCTCCCGCACACCGCCGGGGGCTCCGGGGCCGCAGCCGGCGCCTCGGGGGCCCGGCGCGCCAAATTGAGACACTCGGCGCTGGAAATGCGGAATCGCACAGGTGAAGCGGACAGCGGGGCCACACGGCCGCGGAAGAAAGCCGTGGCCCCTGCTGGGCTATTAAAACCGGGGGTGGTGGGGAATTCGGGGCCTTCGCTTTATTTGCCAAGTAGCGAAACTGCGGTTTCTCAACGTTTACTCTTAACCCCGAAATTTCATTCAAGTACTCGCTACCGACAAGACCAGCCGAAACTTCACTTTCTGACAATTAATGTTTTCCTCAACCGCCGCACACCAACGGCTTAAAGCCGCCCCAATACCGTTATGAAAAATTCAAACGGTTCGCGAACCAACAGTCGGATTGTTCATGTTCCGCCGAACAAAGGGGCGAGGAGGAGGAGGGGGGGGAGTTACCAGGCAGGACGCGTGCACGAGTCCCCCCCCCCTCCTCCTCCTCACGAGCACGGCAAGCTGGGCGCGCGGCCGACTAACAGACAAAAGAATCCCAGAGAGAAACGTGGCGCGCGCTCCCCCCATACGCCGTGTGCTGCGAGAGAGGGGAGCAGGAGAAAAAAAAAAACGCGCGCGCTTCCCGCCGTTTCGCTCCCAGCCTCCTCGGGTATAAATACAGCGGCCGCGGTCCTCCAGGGACCAGACCCGGGTCAGGCGAGGTGGAGGGAGACCGAACGACGGAAACGAGACGACGCAGCTCAAGTTTATCGATGAAACCAAACTCGGAACAGGAAACGTCGGCCGTAAAGCTAGGAAAGTCCCCCCCCCACTCCAGTTTGAAAAGGGAAGCGTAAACGTGGGTTCTTTCGTTTTTTTTAAAAAAAACACCAGAAACCGGGAACAAAAAGCGCTAGTTTCCTCCTACAGTAAACCATCATTCTCACCTCTACGACAGGGTACAGTACCGGCTGTTAATTCCGTCCGCAAACCGTAACCGGAATATTGGAATAAATAAACAAAAGTACATTTAAGAATCTTCTATCAAGACCTAAAACAGGTCTTTAGAGATATAAATATGCATTTTCAATAAACGCAACTTGAGTAGGGCTTTTTTTTTTAAAAAAAAAGGTTTCCATGTAGTTTAACAGCATCTCGCATTTTAGACTAAAACCTATAGCGAGAACCGCGTGGTGCTGAGCAACGTGCACAAGACAAAGAAAACGAAATTAAAGCACATTTGAATAAGACAGAAGCCTTATCTTTTTTTAAAAAAAACCTCTTACTTTAACCCAAATCAAACTTACCTTAGGAGTAACCTCGGTGGTAGTGGTAGTATCAACTGCGGTATCAGCCATTATTAAAAAAATACGAGGAAACCCGAAGGATAACCAAAAAAGAAGTGGTAAATATTTCTTCTGTTGTAATGAAGGTAATGACCCCTTTCGCTGATTCAAAGTCAGAGACCCAGAGGCGAGGAGAGGAGTGAAACAAATCGCTTCAAACCTGAGAGTTAAATAGAATCCTCCTGAGGAGGCAGCCCGAGCTGACACGGGATTGGACGACGAAACCTTTGCAGAATTCTATTGGCTAAGGGACACGTCGATCATCTCTATAGCGTCCCGCTTTTTACGCCCCTCCCCGCGGTGCGTTCAATCGTTTGTTATTGGTTGGGCTCGGAAAACGCCACGCCTCTTGGTCCGGGGAGGGGAGGGGGGGACAAAGCAATTAGCATACGAGGTCTTTCATTGGCTTCTTCACCTGTCGGTCATACCTCGGTAAATCCCACCCACCCCCTAAAAAACAGATACTGTTCTCTTTGTATCTATTGGATATTTAAGATGTCAATAAAGAAATGTATATGTATTTACTATCCTCCCTAATTTACTTTTCGTTGCTCCACAGGTCTGGTTGGAAATCCGAGAGGGATCATTTAAATAGGCAGTTCTTGTCCAGCCCACGCATTACAGCATACACGTTGTATTTTCTGATATTATTTGGCAGGCACTAACGTGTTGAGACTCGGAGAACGCATACTGTATTGCTTTACTCTCGGCAATCTTTACAATACACGAGTTTTCTTTTTCTTTTTATTTGGAAACTTTTTTAAATGTTTTTGTTAGGCTTTTCGCAACCGTTGTTTATCTGTTAAGTGTGAAATGCGTAAGAGAGTAAAAATAAACCACAAGTTGAGCGAGAAATACGAACGTATTACAGAGGCATGCAACCAAAAGTATGCGGTAGAGCCTATGAAATATCCTTCAGAAATCATTATAGTGACACAGTCACAATTAATGCGGTCAGTGGATCTGGGTTTTATTTTTTTAAATGGAAATGGGTTTTGTATTTCTGAAGTTTTTTCGATTTTATTCTTAGCCTCGGGTTGTTCTTTTTCAACATTAGAAGCGTTGCTTTTTCTAAAAACACGAATCCCGTGTCGAGGCTACGCGTTTTATCTCCTTTGTCGCCTATTCTCTCTCTCCTCGTTTTTTCCAGTCTCGACAAGAGAGGTATCAAATTTCAGCGCGCAACCCAGGTTAACTATTTAATAAAGTAACTCCCCCCCGCCCGCTCTCACTGGATCCGCCGTTGACTCTGTTCATCAAGGGCTTTCCGCCTTCTCGTTATTTTAAGCCGCATTTTGACGTTGAAAAGTTTCCAAGCACTAATTGATCCGGACGTACCGAAGTTAATAGCGCTTTTATTTCAGGTCTCCCTCCTCACAGTCAGGCCCCTGAAGCAGCGTGAACGCGATGAGGACGTAACCCGTTTTTAGCTTTCCAAATTAAATAGGCCCGCCATATTCCTATTCTGTCCCGTTGAACTAATGAATGGTAGGAAGCAGTATGGGTTGGACTGCAAGTACCGTTCACTATACAAAACAGGGCTTTGTATAATCACAAGACGCACCAAAATGCAAAATACCACTGATTTACTTTGCATTTTAATGTTGCAGTCCTTAGTACTGCCAGCAGGCTTTAAAAATGTTTAAGCCTCGGTGCTCAGTTTCTGTTTTGTTCTCTGACCTCTGTAGGACACGTAGACTCCATTTCCTATTTTTCTACTGGATGAGCTCGTGTTGAAGTGATAGAAAGGCTCGTTTTAATTTGATTTGCACTCCTTTAAAAAAAAAAGACAGCGCTTCTCCTCCATTTGAGGCTGAGAGCTTTTATTCCCAGGACCTGGGATATGTCTGCTTTCTGCATACCAGGAGCAGAGCCGTGTCCTCCAAAGTGAAACATGACTTTTGTCACAGACCCATCGGCTTCAGTGCATGAATCCCCAAATATGGCAAAGCCCCTTGGCAAGCTTTGCCTGGACTGTCAAGACGCGAGACAATCCTTCCGTTGAGAATTGGCGAGAACCGTTCGGAGCTGACTTGAGTTGCGCGCCAGGGTTTTTAGAAACGGAAACAGAGAGGAAGGCCTACGAGCTTGGTGCCGGAGGTCAGTCCGAGTATGGACAGAGTCCTCAGGCTTTCTCACTCGGTGTCTCCACAGCAGGGCCCTGCGTGGGTGGGGGGGTCTGAGGGGTCGAGCCCCAAGCTGAGGCAGTCGGATTTGTGTCAGGCAGGAGAGAGAGAGAGAGAAGAGCCGAACAGACCGCTGGCGTGCGGAGGGCAGTTTGTCAGTGGTCTCCATCACGCAGCCCGGCCTACAGGCATCACGAAACTCAAGTAGGGAGCTGCGTCAGCAGGCGTAGGCTGCCAAGGAACAGGCGAGGGTTCATTCTTTGCTGAAAAGAGACGCCACACGTCTCCCTGGCTGCGGAGGAGGTGTGAAGAAGGCTCCCCAGCCGAAACGTTGCGTTTCTTCACTCCTCCTTCCAGCGTGGAATAAACCTTTACGTGTTCCTACAGCGATCGTTGCAGCAACAGGGGGAGCAACAGCAGGAAGTCGCACCAGGCCATTCTCATGGTAAGAAGGAGCCACAGCCCCTCAGAGCTGGCTCTTCATTCAGGAGACAAAAAGAAGAAGCACTAAAGACCGGGGCCCTGGCATTCAATACCAGGCAATTTGCCGACTGCCCCCAGATCTCCTACTTTTGTCTCGGCACGCTGTGTCGCCCTCATAGGACGTCAGACGGAGAACAATGCAAGGAGATCTGCAATGATCCTAGCACAGGGGGAAGCTGGGAAGAGAGTCACCATCCAATCCCTCCAAGGAAATCAAGTTGAGTTGACTAGGTGTGTCAGAAAAGCGAGCTATTTCCAGTGGATGAAGAGTATGCTCTTCTGATTTGTCCTCCAGAGGGGTGGCAGCAGACACAAAAGATAAAGTTACAAAGGAGGGAGGGCATGTGGCCCAGCAGGCCCGGCTGGTAGTTCAGGTAGCTTATTGAGCCCAGGTTCTCCCCCAACCATTTCCATAAGGAATTCAACGTATCGGCTTCATCCTCAGGGCTGGGCCTCAGCTTGATCCACACCCCCGCCACCTTCTGGGTAAAGACGTGCCTCCTATTGTTACTTTCAAGGGCACTTCCATAAAGTTTCCAATTGTGCCTTCATGTTTCACGAGTCCTCTGGGGGTGATTCTGTGAGTCTGGAATATTTGCCTCAAGTACCTCCTAGTCTTCTGAGTTCAAGACTAAGAAGGTTCACGTTCCTTCGGTCTGTCAGTGCAGGACATTAAACCCCCAGATGCATCTGGTTGCTCTTCTCTGGCCTGATCCCACAGCAGCGATATCTTATTTTTTTGTGACACAGTGACCACAACTGTACACAATTTGACTGTTAGTGTCAGTGTGATAGTCAGTACTTCCCCTTTCTATGACTTCAAATGACTGTTCTCTAGCAGGACCAGCCTCGCTAATCGATCAAGACAAATGTATGAAAGAAAACCCAATGGAGATAAAAAAAAGCCCGTAAACGCTTAGCTATTTTCACTCGAGAACAGGCACTGCTGCAAAAGACACTGGGCAGTGCCTGCCCGGTTTTTCAGTAGAATTGGAAAACAAAGATTTGAAAGGTCAAAGGTGTAAAATGACTAAAGTATAACCCCATGTCAAAGTTCACAATGTGTTAAGAAAGGCATTTTGTACTGAATGCAGCAAAGTCAGGAAATCCAAGCCGTATGACCCATCTCTCTCTGCCAAGAGCCCCTTTCACTTCACAGACTTCAAATTCACAAAATGTGCACTTAAAACTGTATAGATATCTTATTCCTTGACCACAGGATTATCTCTCAACCATATTTAATTGTTTTTATACTGTTTTATTCTAGCACCCACTACTGTTTTTTCAACATCATGAAACGCTACTGTTCCTTCAGTGCTTCTAGCTCGTCTTTCAGGCGGTTCCCTCCCCTGAAATACACCCTGCACTTCCTTGATGACTTGCACCAGAGGCAGGGATCTATGGGCACACGCCATCTGGGAACGATTTTCCAAATTAGAACAGACACAAAGCAAAACAAGGGCAGCTGGATTGAATGTCTTAATTATCAAAGAGTCGGAGGTGGCCCTAGAGGTTACTGCAAAAAGAGAGCTGGGAGATGCGAAGGCAGGCAGACTCACCAAGGGCCTAGAGCCGAGGAACTGGGAGGGAGGCAGTGCACATGGAGGCTCTAGAGCCGAGGAACTGGGAGGGAGGCAGTGCTGGTGGAGGCTCTGGAGCCGAGGAACTGGGAGGGAGGCAGTGCTGGTGGAGGCTCAAGAGCCGAGGAACTGGGAGGGAGGCAGTGCTGGTGAAGGCTCAAGAGCCGAGGAACTGGGAGGGAGGCAGTGCTGGTGGAGGCTCTGGAGTCGAGGAACTGGGAGGGAGGCAGTGCTGGTGAAAGCTCTAGAGCCGAGGAACTGGGAGGGAGGCAGTGCTGGTTGTAATAGCCAGAGGCGGAGAACTGCGCGACAGGCGGCCTCACGAGAAGCGGCAGGAGTGCTGACTGGAAGCCAGACCGTGCGCGCAGTTTCTGTGGGGTCGGAAAGGGAAGGGGCGTTGTGTGCAGGTTCTGTTAGAACCGCGCATAAAGCTTAAAATGTGCTTCTCATTTCTGGTCCTAGAGGGAACATAAGCTTGGTGATTTTACAACGGTTTTTCTAAATAACTTGGATTAGAAACCTGTTTGATTTGTATTATTTAGTAGCAGTAAAGGATAAAAAATATATATTTTTATTAGTGTGTGAGAGGCTAATTAAAATGCACGACCTTAGAAACATGCTGCTGAACCTACATTTTAAAGAGAAGAGGAAGCATTTTCTTTGCCACACCTTCTTCGTTCTTGAATGTGATTCCAACACGTTACGTTACTGTTTGTTTGAAAGATAATATAACAAAAACAATAAACATTTTGAAATAATATGTATTATGTTATGATGTTATTTCAACGGCATGCGCTCCGCATAGATAACATCAACAATCCAAAGTATGAAAACATCTAATGATTAAATATAAATACAGTACACCAAAAATACTTCAGTGTTGCATTTTTTCTATTGAATTGCTGTGGTGCTGAATTTGGGACAACGGAGCTCTGAAACAACAGAGAATAAAACAAATGCGTGGTCTTGCACCAACACCTCCGCGTCGCGTCCTTCCTCGTTTAGCGCCTTCAGCGAATTCGAAAATAAAACACGGATTTTTTTTCGCCCAGGTCTCGCGCGTCTCAGCCGGGTCTTTAGGCCGCTCGGAGGCCCCGCGCTAAGACAGGCGCCCCGAGCCGAGCTGCAGCGCGCAGAGCAAGGCGAGGAGACGCCGGGGCGGCCGGCAGGACCTGCAGGTAGGGAGAGCGCCGTTCTTCCTGCATCACAGTCCTGCAGCAACGACGGACAGAAAGGCAACGCAGACTTCTCGAATCGGGCGTCGCATTATCACGCATAAGATGAATCGGAGCGAAAACAGACTACTGAGCTGTAGCTTTGTGTGGATTCGTCTCCTGCACTAAACAGAAACCTGGATAAAAGTCACTTCGGGCATTTTTGTTTCCAGAATTCCGCGCGTTATTCTTAAAATGTCATCATTTTTATACATCCGGATTTTACCCAGAATTTCCAGTTTCGTTTAGCTTGTCCTAATTTACCATTCATTTTTGTTTTAATGAAAAGCTACAGTGCATTGTTCCTCAAAATGTGCGATGTTAATTAGGTACAGACGTCAGTGCTAGCGCCCCCACCTGTAACATTGTCAGAGTTTGAGTGCTTTAAAATCATACCGTACAACGCAATGCGTTGAGTTGTGCTGTGTTCTTTAAAACGGTGCGATTCACAGAAGCCGAAAATCACATATAAGGCAATGGTTTAAGTGCAACAGTGTATTGGATTAATAATCGTTACAACCGGATCCAAAATGATTGAGTATATTCACCGTGGTTAACATAGTAATTCTGACGTAAAAATGGGAAAATGTCAAATTAAAAATCCCTTTTAGCGAGTGATAATATCACGAGAAGTCGGTACCATATTTATTAGAGTAGATCTGAACACATTAAGTACCGTATTTCAACTTTGGCGTCCACTCTACCGCTTGAACTAAATGCAAAATGAACCGGAAGACCGAAGGCCAATGTCTGAAGGTTATTCATCCCTGTGATGGGTGTCATCTGACCGAAAACGACTCTTACGACTAATTTAAGGTGTCTTGTTTGCGGAGAGTGTATCAGGAAATGAACACGGAAGGAATAAAATTAGGGGGTGAAAAAACATCATCTATGCCATAAACCTAATTATCGACAATCCAGGAGCGATTTAGATTTCTGCATTTATGTTACGTTTTGTTCTCTTTGAAAAATAAAATTTGCGCACATTTAGAAGAAGGATACGTTTTCGTCTTCGCCGATTTCTATCGTGGAGGTGGCAGTTGTTTCAAACAGGGACATTACGTGGTTTATTATTGTCATGATTATTGCTCCGTTATTGTTATGATACTGTCTCGGAGATCGCCGCTGATCCAGCCCGGCCGCGTGTCTCCTGTGTGAGTCACTCGCGGCCCGCTGACACACAGCGAGGCCACTTCTGAGTCTTTGTTTACTGTCGCTGTGTCATTAGCATATTGTGTTGAGGGCATTGTGTTGCAGATGGGAGCTGAACAAGGCAGCTGTTCCATTCAGATCGACGCCCCCCCGCACCCTGTAATCTCTTTCGCTCCCTGCTCCTACCCCCCCGCAAGACAAAGACGCACACGGACAGACAGTATTCTCTTAACTTTACTTTGCATAAAGATGTACTGCTTTACATATGTGTTATTCTGAGTTCTTTTATCTAACTTTACTTTTTAACTTTTTGATTTCTGCTGTGACACTCTCGATGCCTGGTGTGTGGCCTGTCACATAAAGAATTGCAGAACACACTCGCCCTTTGAACTGGAGTCCCTGTTGCCAGGCCGAGGGCGTCCGAGCCGAGCCCTCTCCTTGGAGTGCCATGTTCTGTTTCTCCCTGCTGTCCCGTCGTAGGCTCCGGTGGAGATGGAGAGGACAAGAGCCGAGAGTTCGGCTGGAGGAATGTCTCGGTCTGGATGTATTCCATGCAAAAACAAAATGAATTGGGGGTATTGCATGTTGCAAAAACGAGTGGACAGAGAGCAAAAAAAGGCATCACTGCAAACATACAATTGCGATCCACATTGCTTTAACAATGACAATTTGAACACAGAGGGAAATTGTAAACCAAAAAAGTAAATTTGGATGAGAACAATTTCTATTTGAAGAGCTCCCATCACCTGTCATTCCTCTCTGCCTACAGAAGGGGGCAGTGTATTCTCATTCTCCTGTATTTGTCTCAGTTCCAACAAGGTGAATGAGGGATACTGTACTTTCCATATTTTCATTAAGAGCCGCTTTGCTGTTTAATGTAATGAGCCTGATATGACAAAGGCTGCTCAGTGCTCACAGATGGCGTGGGCTCCTGTCATGCAGTGTTGCCAGACTGGCTCCATTGTCTTAGCAGCTCCAATGCTGGAACTGGTGGTGTGAAAACTGTGGAATGGAATTTGTTCTGGCGGGCCGGACTGAACTGACGGCGGCAATGGCTGTGCTACAGAGCTGGAGTTTGCAGCCCGGTGGACTGGTTTTTATTTTGCTCTTTTTAAATTTACTGTCTGCTCACATTTCCCCTCGCCCATACCCATAAGTACTTCCTTGTTGTTAGTCTTCTGGCGCATGATTTTCTGTTAGTTTCTTTAGTTATCTCAGGCTCGGTAGTTGTTCCATAACGAACGAGCTGATGCTCCTACAGGGTTATTGTGAGAATCTGAAGGGGGTTAAGTATGTGACTGTTTGCCATTAGCAAGTCAACAAATGGGCTTCAGAGCACTGTGCACACAAAGATACTTCCCCATTGTTTTTTTTTTCCTTTTATGGTATTTGAGAAGCCTGGAGAGAAGTGTTTTTTCCATAGCATTTGCATTGAGTAGAAAATGAGAACTTAGCACCATGCAGCAGTGAATTTAGTAGGCCTTAAATGAAAGAACAGGATCATGTAATTGTTAGTTATTTTAATAGGCTAACACCTTTGTAAAAGATTACAAGATTGCTTTTGTACACCTTTATACAGCTGGGTATTTTACTGTAGCAATTGAATTAACATGTTGCTGTAGGTAAGGGCGTCTAAGCAAATAAATAATACAGAATAACATACTATTTTACACCCCTGCCAGAAGAGAGAGATGTGTACCCTGACTACTACTGCTTAACTAATCTGTAAATGTGATGTTGCCTCTCTTGCTCAAACTTATTCTTTTTATGGCTATTTTCTTTTTTTTCTGAGAAATCTCAGGCTGTCCGATTCTGCACTTCTCAATCCCCTCCTGGCGGGAGTCTGAGCAGGGGATCCACAGAGGAGGCCGCTGGGAT